GAGAACTCTCTGTTCAGCTCCTTAGCCCATCTTTTAATTGGGTTGCTTCCTATCTTAATCCTCTGTTTTTTTTAGTTCATTATATATTCTGGATGTTAACCTCGTCAGATATGTTGCCGGTGAAGATTTTCTCCCATTCTGTGGGCTTTCTGTTCACTTCCCTGGTTGCCTCCTTTGATGTACAGAAGCTTTTAGTTTAATGAGGTCCCATTTGTTGATTCTTGATGTTGTTTCATGAGCAATTGATGTCCAGTTTAGAAAATCCCTTCCTACACCTACATCTTGTAGGTTGTTGCCAATGTTTTCTTCTAACAGTTTCAGAGTTTCAGGCTCCACATTGAGGTCTTTGATCCATTTGGAACTGACTTTTGTGCAAGGTGAAAGATAGGAGTTTAGTTTCATTCTTCTACAGGTGGAGATCCAGTTTTGCCAGCACCATTTGCTGAACATGCTGTCTTTCCTCCAGTGAGTGTTCTTGGCCCCTTTGTCAAATATCACATGGCCGAAATTGCATGTACTCATATCTGGGTCTTCAATTTTGTTCCATTGATCTATGGGTCTATTTTGTGCCAGTACCATGTTGTGTTTATGACTATAGCTCAGTAATACAGCTTAAAATCTGGTATAGTAATCTCCCTGGCATTGCTCTTAGTGGTCAGGGTTGCTTTGGCTATCCGAGGTCTTTTGTGCTTTCATCTGAATTTAAGGATGCATTTTTCTAATTCTGTGAAGTATGTCACATGAATTTTGATTGGGATTGCATTGAATCTATATATTGCTTTTGATAGGATGGTCATTTTAACAATATTAATTCTTCCAATCCATGAACATGAGAGGTCCTTCCATCTCCTGGTGTCTTCCTCAATCTCTTTAACTATTTAAAATTTTCATTGTAGAGATCTTTGGTGTCTTTAGTCAGATTTATTCCAAGATATTTTTTTTTTGCAGCCTACAGACTTTTTTACAGAATTTTGTAACCTGCCACTTTACTGAATGTGTTAATAATTTCTAGGAGTTTTCTGGTGGGAT